TCTTTTCTTCTATTCCTAGTTTCTTAGAGCTTTTATCATGAAATATGTTGGATCTTATAAAGGCTTTTTCTGCATCTATTGAAGATATCAAGTGGTTTTTTTCTTTGCTTTGTTAAAGTGGTTTATATGTTATTGATTTTTGTATGTTGAACCACCCTGCATCCCTGGGATGAAGCCTACCTGGTCCGATGGTGAATAATCTTTTTGTGTTGTTGCTGATCGGATTTGCCATTATTTTGTTGAGGATTTTGCATCAATGTTCATTAAGGAGATTGGCCTATAGTTCTCCTTTTGGAGGTGTTTTGCCTGGTTTTGGGATAAGTGTAAATACGGCTTCATAAATGGTGTTTGGAAGTTTTTCCTTCCTTATTTTCATGGAAAGTATTAAGGAGGTTGGTATCAGTTCTTCTTTAAAGGTCTGATAGAATTCAGCAGAGAATCCATCAGGTCCTGGACTTTTCTTTTTGGGAGACTCTTGATTGCTGCTTCAATTCATTTTGTGTATCGTCTATTCAGGTGATTAATTTCCTTTGTTCAGTTTGGTGATCATCATGTATCTAGAAATCTGTCCATTTTTTTAGATTTTCAAATTTATTTGAATATAGGTTCTCAAAGTAGTCTCTGATGATTTCTGGACTTCCATGGTGTTTGTTGTTATCTCCCTTTTGCATTCCTAATTCTACTATATTTGGGTTTTTTCTTCCTCTTTTTGTCAGGTTTGCCCAGGGGTCTATGATCTTGTTATATTTTTTTCAAAAGACCCACTTTTTGTTTCATTATTCTTTGTATGGTTTTTTTTTGGTTTCTTATTTCGTTGATTTAGCTTTATTTTTATTATTTCTTCTTCTATTTGTTTTGGGATTTGCTTGTTCTTGTTTTTCTAGGAGTTGAGATGTATATTAGGTCATTGATTGGGAATTTTCAATCTTTTTAATATATGCATCATGGCTATAAAACTTCTCTCAAACGCCTTAGCTGTGTCCTAGGTTCGCGGTAGGTTGTTTTCATTTTCATTGAACTTCTAGGAACTTTTTAATTTCTTTTTATTGCATAGATGATCCATTTTCATTAAGTAATGAGTTTATTTAGTTCAGCTGTTTGCATGTTTTTTGTCTTTATTTTGTTGTTGATTCTACTTTTACTGCATTGTGGTCAGATAGTATGATGGTATTATTTTATTTTCTTATATTTGCTGAGGCTTGCTTTGTGCCCTAGGATATGATCTATTTTGGAGAAGGTTCATGGGCTGCTGAGAAGAATGTATATTGTGTAGAGGTGGATGAAATGTTCTTAGACATCTACTAGTCACTTGAATCTATTGCATATTTAGATTTTGGATTTCTTTTGATTTTTGTTTGATGACCTATCTATTGATGAAATGGAGTGTTAAGTCTCCACAACCACTGTGTTGGCGTTTATATATGCTTTTAGGTCTTTCAGGGTATGTTTGATGAATTGGGTTGCGTTGACATTGGGTGCGTACAGATTGATGATTATTATTCCTTTTGGTCTATTTCCCCTTTTATTAGTATGGAATGTCTTCTTTATCTCGTTGATCAATGTAGGTTTGAAGTCTACTTTGTCGAGATAAGTATTTGCTACTCCTGCTTGTTTCGGGGGCCATTGGCTGGTAATCTCTTCCAGCCTTTCATCCTAAGCATATGCTTATTTCTGTCGGTGAGATGATCTCCTGTAAGCAACAAAATTGTTGGATCTTCTTTTTTAATCCATTTTGTCAAACGGTGTCTTTTGATGGGTGAATTAAGTCCATTAACATTAAGTGTTAGTACTGATAGGTTGTGGTGATTCCTGCATTTAGTTATCTTAGTTGTTTGAAGGTTTGATTGTGTGTACCTAACTTGATGTTACTCTCTACTGTCTTGCTTTTTCTTATCCTGTGGTTTGGTGCTGCCTGCCTTTTCATGTGTAAGTTGGGGTCACTTTCTGTGTGCAGGATCCCTTGCAGAATCTTTGTAATGGTGGTTTGTGGTCACATATTGTTTTAGTTTTGCTTATCATGGAAGACTTTTATTGCTCCATCTATATTTTGAATGATAGCTTTGCTGGTAGAGTATCCTGGGGTTGAAGTTATTTTCATTCAGTGCCCGAAGATCTCACCACGCTCTTCTTGCTTTTAATGTTTCTGTTGAGAAGTCTGCTGTGATTTTGATGGGTTTACCTTTGTATGTTACTTGTTTTTTCTTCTTTAGCCTTCAATATTCTTCCTTAGTTGAACTTGTTTTTAATGATGATATGTCGGAGTAGTTCTATTTTGATCTGGTCTGTTTGGTGTCCTGGAGGCCTCTTGCATTTGTATGGGAATATCTTTCTCTAGATTTGGGAAATTTTTTATTATTTTGTTGAATATATTACGCATTCCCTTCGCTTGCACTCTTCTCCTTCTTCGATGCCATGATTCTCAAGTTTGGTCTTTTGATGGAGTCAGTGAGTTCTTTGCATTTCTTTTCACAGGTCTTGAGTTGTTTAATTTAGTTCTTCAGTTTTTCCTTTATTACCATTTCATCTTCAAGTTCTGAGATTCTGTCTTCTGTTTGTTTATTCTGCTGGATTGGCCTTCCGTTTTGTTTTGCAGTTCTGTTTCGTTCTTTTTCTGAGGTTTTCCATATCCTGCTGTTTTCTTCTTTATTGTTGTCTTTTTTGTCCTGAGTTCATTTATCCATTTATTATTGTGTTTCTCTTTCACTTTGGTGTTTATTACAGTGCTTCTATGGTTTCCTTTATTTCTTCTTTTGCTTTTTCAAATTCTCTATTTTTATTGTCTTGGAATTTCTTGAGTGTCCTCCTGTACATTTTGGTTGACCCTATCCAGTATCATCTCTATAAAATTTCTCATTGAGTACTTGTAGTATGTCTTCTTTTAAATTATTTTGTGGTTCATTGGGTCCTTTGGCATAGTTTATATCTTCATTTTGTTGGAGTCTGGATCTGAGTTTCTGTCTCTTCATTCCCCTCTGGTTCCTGTACTAATTTTTTGCTGTGGGGAAACTGGTTTCTTGTTTTTTCTGTCTTCCTGTCATTGTCCTTGGTGTTGTTACTGTCCCTGTACTGTGTGTAATTAAGTATTTTCTAGCTTGTAATAATAACAATGGTAATATTGAGAATGGAAGAGTGAGCTGAGATGAAAGCAAGAAGTTAAAGAAAGGGAAAACAAATATACAGACAAGAGGGAGAAAGCAGAAAAGGTATCAGACAAGAGAGTTTCAAAGGTATAAACAGGGAGTGTAGTGTACTAATGACAGTAAGCTGAACAGACATAGAGACAGAGAGGAGATTGAAAATCAAAGATAAAATAAAAAAATAAGTATAAAGTAATATATATAAAAATGAATTAAAATAAAATGAAAATTGAAAATTAAAAAAAAAAAAAAAAACCACAAATTCCAAGTTTTATGCAATGCAATTTCAGTCTTAATAATTTGGATGTCCGTCTCAATCTCCAGTCCTGGGTTGGTGCCTCAGATGTTGTTCTGTAGTTGTCTCATCAAAGGGGATCATAAAGTAGAACAAACTACACTCACACACACACACAAGAAGAAAAAAAAAAAGCCCCACCAAGTGTCCCAGTTCAATGCAATAAGTTTCAGTAAGTTTTTTCGGCTTGCAGTGTAATTCGGTTGTTCTCTCATCAAAGGTAGGGAGAAAAAGAAAAAAAGCGTCTGGAGGCAGTTCTGAGAGTGGTATCTGCAACTGTGGCTTGCTGCCTGCTGCTCTCAGCCTGTAGCTGGCGGCGTTATTTATGCAGATCTCTGGGGTGAGCTTAGCACTCACCTGGTCCACAGGCTTTGTTTGCTCAGAGTTCCTGTGCAAGCTACAGGCTTCCTTTCTAAGCACTGGGAAAGGTGACACGACGGCCAGTTGTAGGCCTGCGTGTTTATTTAATTCACGTGGAAAGTGGGTCTTCCCTCCTCACAAGCGTCCCGCTCCTGGTGTGGGGCGTGCCCCGCTCCATCAGAGGCTCTCTGGCACCCGGCTTTTCGTTATTTACAGTCGGGA